AATTTGGTATTACTGATACGGAAGATTTTCTGAAATCTGAATTAGTTGAATGGTATAAAGAACTATTGTGGAATACCGAACGACCATTGCAAATATTTTTACAAGAAAATGAAATAATTTTAGACTTGTGAGTGAAAGAAAGCCAGCGCATATGCCACGTATTAAAAGAGCTATTCTTGTGATAATGTGAGCGAAGAATATATCCATTCCAGTCGCATTAATTTTATTTACTGTTAATAATTTTTTGTTTCTCCCTTTATCGTTAAATCAATGTTCAATATAGCAGGTGATAGTTGCCATTCTATCGAGGACTGTTGTCGAGGAATGTTGAAGAAAGGAGGTTTTCTCAAGCAGTATGCTCGTGTTGAGTTTCTATATTTCTATTTTTGTTTAGTTTTAATTTCCAGATGGACGTAGTTGTTTAAAAAATGTCTGACCTTTCTTATTATTCATGTAGCATTTTCTATACGATAGTAGGATTAAAGAAAGGGAAAGATGTTCGAGAATCTCACTCAAAGTCAGAATTTCTTCAAAATTTTCATTCAATCCATTCCGCCATTATTGTTTGTGTTCTCGTCATTTTTTGTGAACTATTTCATCTCATTAAGGATGAGCCACAAACTGTGTTTCGATGTTGCGGTGATAGTAAAATAAGCGCGCACTATCACTAGACATAACTTTTAGTTGTTAGCACCTTGCATGGCAATATAAAAGGATTCATTCTGCACTATTTTGAAAAGGCAGTGAAACAACAATATGAAAAGCAATGGTTGAATAATAATGGTGGGAACTTCTATTCTACTTAATTTTTTAATGTTATTATCTGATCTTTGAGAAACAATGTATAACTAAGGACATCGACAAAAAAACATCTGCTGTTCATAATTAAATGAACGTGCAATTCATGAACAACAATCTTCTAAATCAACTGAATTATCGTTTGATAACGTTGAATAGTATGGGCTTGAATTAGATGATCGGCTGATGTTAGACTTGTGGATCCCTCCTGTTTGAGGGTATAACAGAATCTAAATGAAAAATACAATGCTGTGATTATCCATGAAAAAATTAATATTTTATAATTATTCCTTGGTCGTCAGGGTCACATAAAGAAAAATGTATGTTTGCCCACACGGGGCGCAGCTAGAGGTCAGTGAGAGGTTCCCAGATGCTGAATATTATCTTTCCCCTATATTTTACTTCAAAGCGCATGTAGAAATCGGAAGAAAACCGAGAGTTCTCTGGAAATCCTTTGGAGATCGGACAGCATGCTTATCCTTCATATTGATTCAAACTGTGACTAAAAATCTGCAGAAAACCAAATATTTTACAAAAACTTTCTGGAGATTCTCCTTTTCTACCATTACATTCTGCGTGCTGGATGAAACTTGTGAACAGTTCACAAGTTTCAGCCATCTACACCGTTTCTCTTGAAAGTTATTGATTTTTTTTATTTGTCATGTGGGCAAACATACGTTTTTCCTTATACGACACTGACTATAAGGGAAAAATTATAAAATATTAATTTTTTTATGGACCATCATAGCATTGTATTTTTATTTAGATTCTGACAGAATAAACTCTGATCAAACTTTAAATTTGAATTTTGTCTGAGAGATTTCTGGCCAGACTTTAAATTTAAATTTTGACCAAATTTGAAGTTTATCCGCAACATAGATGGTGACATTGTGAAAAGCAGAATAATTAACTAGTGTTGAAAGAAGTTCCGTACCAGTAGCATAGCAGGCAACTTCACAAGTATGAGGATTTTCTAATTCAAAAAATGTATAGAATGATGATTTTTATCAAAAGCAATGAATATTTTACTTCTACCGAAGCCTTTTTTGTAGGCAAAACTTGGTTTATATTCAAAATTCTTTTCATTGATGTTTTTCGGCAAAAAATAAAACCAAAAAGATATACGAGATGGTTCGGCCGGTAAATGGCGACATCTATTCGATAACATCTTTGTTATCACGGTCATTGCTGCCACCTTGTCCGGATTTTCCAGACAAATTCCGGTTTTTGGAGTTTTGCGATTTGTTTGGATTTTTAGAATTTTATCCTTTTGGCTATTTTCCCCCGATCATATAGATTTTTAAGTGTTTTGTTTATCTATAGTTTGTGGAGGTTCTCTTTCTCATATTATAGGCCAGCTAAAGTGACAGTCATTACGTTCGGATCAAAAATATACATTGAAAAAACAGCGTGTCAATTAAAATCGAGATTTTTTGACATTTTGCGCAGTATAAAAAGGTTAAATAAGGCAGTGAAAATACGTTTCCGTTTTTTCCGGATTTTAGGATTATGATTTTGGATTTCTGACTTGTATAGGTGGCAGTTCTGCTCATAGTGTCTAAAACTCATTTATCGAATCAACCTTGTTGCTTTTCTATTGAGGTTGGCCCATTTTTGACATCTGTTATGAAAGGTAACTTCTTTCAAAGATCAACTAGACAGTCAACTATCCTGTGGGATGCTTGGAACGTCAGTAAAATTAAATATTGCTACCACTGGATATTAATGTTTATTATTGAAATGTTCTGGTGTAGTTGTTATTGTTATTTATTTTCAAGAAATATATAAAGTACCTTGGCTAGGTTTTTCTTGTATACAAAACTAAAAACACTGAACATCATTATGTGACGGGTATTTTCATGGTAGTTGTAGGTTCATGGAATTTGTTACCTATACTCATTGGTTGCGCAATCACGGCTAGCGGATAAATAATTCATTGAAAGTTACAGTTTGAAAATTCTCTCTTTTAAGCACATACAATAATTAGATAACGTAATTTTAACGTACTTTTTTGCGAAGGAACAACAGCATTGCCAGAAGAATCACATTGTCTTTACCGCAAAAGCGACCTGGAGCCAGTTTCTCAAAAAATACTTAAGTTAAGTAATGTCTGAGAAATACACTTAGCTAAAAAATTTGACTTACGACGAATTTTTTACTGATGTTTTTGCTTAAGTCTTTTTTAGAAATTGGCCTCCTACGCAACTGCTAGCCTCGAAGCTACAAGCCCCTAAAGTGTTCACTTGTTTATACTCTTGCTGATATTTCTAACTGCCGTCCTGTTTCTCTTCTTGTTGCTTCTGAACTGTCTAAACGTTTAATTTATAATTTTATCCTTTCTCGTCTCTAAATATTCCTTTGTAAATAAACAATTTGGTTTTCTTCCTAAACATTCTACTTTAGATGCCTTGTTATTTTTGCCTTTAACTGTTACTAATTTCTGACATGCGGGTGTGTCTTTTGATTCTTCTGAAGCGTTTGACTGTCTCTCATTTTTTTTTATTAAAAAAATTGTGACGTTGTCATGTGAGTGACTGTTTACTTTCTCTCTTGTCTTCTTACCTCTTCAACCATCTACAGTGTGTGCGTATGAATGACTCTATCTCTTCTCCTTCTGTTGTTTCTTCTGACGCTTCTCGAGGCAGTGAACTGGGGTCGCTTTTATTTCTTATTTTTATTAATAACTTGCCTCTTTCCCTTCCAAAACATTGTGAAATCTGTCTTTTTGCGGATGTCTTTTTAATTGTATCTCTTTCGTCTTCGGATCCGTCCGTTCAATTTCTCTCATGTTCAAACTTGTATTAACTCTGTCTCAAATTGGTCTTTTACTAATCTCATGTGTCTAAAGGTTCTTGGCTTCCTTTTTTACCTTTTCCGTTTCTTTACAATTAACTGTATCTCGGTAATGCCCCTTGTTTTGTTGTGTCTTCTGTTCGCTATCTTGGAATTCTTGTTTTGCATGATCTTAGGTGGAGTAAACATGCCAGAGACATTGCTCGCAAGCTAGGTGAACTGAGTCATGTCTTTGGACTAGGTTCATCAGAGTTCGACGTCGAATTTATCTTTCGTCCACTCTTCCTAAACTTGACTACTGTTGTGCCGTATATGGTAGTTCTTTCTCGCTTTGTGTACTTGACTCTGTAGACAAACTTGCTTCTCGTATTATCTCTCGCTTATCGCTTTTCTAGCTTTTTACTTCTGTCACAACTTTCTCTTCCAAACCTTTCACTTCGTCGTAAATATTTTCGACGTGTACAGTTTTTCAAAATTTATTATCGTCTCTATCCTCTTTCCATCTTTTACTCTATTCATCGTCCTCATCACTCTTCTTTACGTTGTCGTCGTTCTAAATATATGTTCGCATTCCAACTTCTATCAATGGTTTTCTTTTTTACTATTCAGCTATTACTGATTAGAATAAACATTCTGAGCCAGTTATTTGTTTTTCTTCATTAACGTCTTTCAAAAAGGCACTAGTTCCGTATCTCTTACAGTAAAATTCAGCCGTGTTTCTAGTCATAATTAACTTCTATTAGTTGTTTTTCTCTAATGTTATTTTATTTGTGTTTATTTTTCATCGTTACTTTATCTCTGCATACTCTAGTTCCTTTTTCTTTTGTTTATGTCTGTCATTTTTCTTTTATTTTTTCCTATCTCATTTTTATAGTTTGGCTTCAGTCATTGATATTACAAGTCAGGGATCTTTGATGACTCTCACTTTTCGTGAATAAAACATTATTTTTTACTTTGTTGACTTCGATAGATTTCGAAAGACTGGTTCGTAAATGTCTATTTTTTTGTTTGTAGAGTTCCGTTTTGGAGATGTAATAACGTGTTTTTTTGATCTTCTGAAGTATTATAACCCATTGCAACACACTCCATATTAGTCAACTTTCACACAATTTCTTTATATGTATTTCGCTCTATATCTCTTATGGTTTACTTGTAGATCAGAATCATGGACAGTGACGAAGTGGCAGAATCAAAACCATCATGTGTGTTTTTCAAGAAACCTATAAATCGTGGTAATGCAAAATTGAAAACGTCAACAACCTCAACATCGTCAAAACGCAAACAGGAATCAAAGTCTTCTTCATCCTCATCGGATGAAGAAATAAATGTATCTTCTTTGCGTTCAAATCGTATTCAAAAGGGTCTTGTTACCATGTCGGGGGCAAAATCATTTAGAAAAAATCGGCAAACTGACGATGATGATGAAAAACTGTTCAATGTTAATTTTGAATCTGATCGTACAAATACCCGTCAAGGACCTCGAGATCAAGGTGCAACAGCCATAACAGAAATTGATCCAGATTTCAATAACGATCAACAAAGTATATTTCAGCGAGCAAAAAAGATCAACGAGGATTTGAAGAATAAGGAGGATGACAAAATTTATCGTGGAAATAATTATTATCAGCAATTTTATGAAAAAAAAGATACGGCACAAGGGAATGCTAGTAGTGGACTTGTGAGAAATAAAGGTAATTTCTTGAACAATTCAGATCACAACTTCTTATTCTCTTACTGTTTTCCTCTTTTCTAGGTCCAATTCGGGCACCAGCCCATTTACGTGTCAGTGTTCGATGGGATTATCAGCCTGATATCTGTAAAGATTACAAAGAAACAGGTTAGTATTTCATTTTTGTCCACTAAGCCTATTCAATCGTAAGAGAATTAAACATTAGCTACTGATAATCTTTTCATTCATTTTTCTTGCATTGTTTACGGTTTTTCTTTCTAGGCTATTGTGGCTTTGGTGATTCATGTAAATTTCTACACGATCGTTCTGATTATAAACATGGTTGGCAATTAGAACGTGAATGGAATGAACAAAATTATGGTGGCGTTGATAATGACAGTGCTCGATATTTGGTGAAAAATACTGCAAATCAAGCATCGTGGTCATCATTTTCAAAGAAACATCAGCACAATCCGACAGAAGACGGTGAAGATGAGGACGAGCAAGACGTTGATGGTTTACCGTTTCGATGTTTGATATGTCGTAAATCATTTAAGGAGCCAGTAGTGACTAAATGTCGACATTATTTTTGTGAAACATGCGCAATACAACAATATCGTTCAACTCAAAAATGTTTTATTTGCAATGAAAATACAAGTGGCATATTTATGCCGGCAAATGATATTATTAAAAAATTAAAACTGCAACAACAAGAACAAGAACAGCATCAAAAAACCACTAAAAATGGAAGGTCGAATGAAACTGCGACTAATGATCTGGATGATGAAAGTGATGATTCAGGATGAGCGTCGTATGTTTATGTTTGCTTTCTGTTTTGTTCCCTTTATTCATGTGTTTTCGCGAATATTCTTTATTTAAATCTTTTTCATGTATATAAACATTTTCATCATAAAAGAAGATGAGTGTATAACTCTGTTTCTTCAACAAATGATTTTTCGTCGAATATATTCGAAAAGAAATATCTGTCACGCCCACAACATACAGGACAACTTCGAGAATATTTAGTCTTATATCTATCCCTTAGATTTTTCAGTGAAATCGAGGATTACCGTGTTCAACTTGATTCATGTGCTAACTGGCCTTGATGATGCAACGATATAGATTTTGAGTTTGTACGTTGTCAAGGAAATTCACCCGTTATTCAACGCTATATTTATTCGCAAGATTCAGTTTAATGAACAATGAAAGTTTCTGTAATTTAATTTTTTAAATGAAAATTTGAAATGTAGCTATATTGTGTTAGGACTATAGAAATCTCTCAGCGCGATACTTTCCAGGAAGGTTTAAGACAGACAAGTTGAATGCTATATTTTTTATTTGATCGCGTCACAAACTTTTTTCTCTTTACGTAGTGAGGTTTTTTTTGAATTTAATTGTTAGAAGGAACGGTTGAAAATTTTGAAAATATACATATAGTTTGACCGCTATTTCCTTTTGGTACCGTGATGAGTCATCGTTTCTCTATCATCATGTTTATACCATACGTATCAGACGATAATAGTTCTCTTTTGTCTTTCTTTCTTATAGAAGAAATTCTTCGACGAGGCCAGCTGCAGTACGTGATCATTGTTTTTCATTTCCTGTGTTGTTCTCTATATAGTTATACGTGTACGTTCACGATGTGCGTACATTGAGTTATAGCCTATATAAAAGTGTTGAACAGAACGAATCTGTATATATATTTCTGTTTAAAACACGCGCCATTGTTAGAAAGAAAAAAGCGCTGATAGCCATTGTCACAAAATAGCCTCTGCTGTTACATATAGTATTTCGATTCTTAGCAAGTAGACAAAACAGGTATGTTGGTCTGTATGGATTTTTGCGAAAAATCATCGTCCAATTTCTGACATAAAAGTGGCTATTAATCCAAATTATGCTCGATATTTGATAATGAAATGGTTGTATT